AGAAGTTTTAACTTTAAGTAGTCAAAGACCTGGTGAAAGCAAAACATAGAAACTTTGGTTTTGGGGGCAGATAAGGAAAGGAAGAAGACTTCTGTTTACATCGTCTTGATCAAGACCAGACCAACAATCCTAGAAAGCTTTGTCCCAGCGAGAAAAGTGCATGTTTACTATTGAAGCAGTATCCTTTTAAAATCAATTTATTTCAGGGGCGCCTGGGTGGCGCAGTCGGTTAAGCGTCCGACTTCAGCCAGGTCATGATCTCGCGGTCCGGGAGTTCGAGCCCCGCGTCAGGCTCTGGGCTGACGGCTCAGAGCCTGGAGCCTGTTTCCAATTCTGTGTCTCCCTCTCTCTCTGCCCCTCCCCCGTTCATGCTCTGTCTCTCTCTGTCCCAAAAATAAACGTTGAAAAAACATTTAATAAAATCAATTTATTTCAATATTAGTCCATCCTAAGCACACACACATAAAATGACTTTCTAAAGCTGTCCCTTCACAGACTTGTCTGCAACATTCTTTTGCACTCAGAGTTCGTCCTGAGATTTTTTTCTCTAAATAACCAGTCTCATTTTAGGAGAAAATTACTTTCTTTCACCTTAACAAAATGTATTCCCATCCCTCATATCTCCTACTCTCTTAGATACAGACTGGCTTTCCCCATTCCGGTCAGTCTCAGTTACATTTAGAAGAATTGTACCTCTTAGAAACCTTAGTCTCCAGTGAAAACCAATTGAGAACTGTCTATACACCAGGATTCTTTAGATGACAAATTTATGGACGCATTTCATAGTTTTTAGGAACATGCCTTTTTCATAGCACAGTCTTTAAATGAGGCACAATGTATGTTTTCCAACAGATGCAGGTATCTTTAGTTTCTCTGCAATAAGAAGCCAAAAGCAGATGAAACTTATTTTTGCTAATTAACATGTTAGTATTTTATCTTATTGAGAAAAGACTTAGATGCCCAGTGAATTAAACCGAATTTATCATTGAACTTAGCAAAATTTCAAAGTTTCAGGTTATGAAAGATTTTGAAAACTATCTTAAAAATTACCCATGAGAACTTTCTGAGACAAAGTTAACCATGATTTTAAGTCATCATTTATTTACAAACTGCAACAGAGCTTATTTGACCTTTAGTATAAAAGTTTTATATGTAATAAATATGTATGGATAACTCTAAAATCGTGTCTTTTCGTTACATCAGCAACCTTAAATTAGCTTTAATATCAAATATATTCTGG